TGTTATCCCATGTAGTAGTAAAAAGAGATGTTATCCCATGTAAAAAGAGATGTTATCCCATGTAAGAGGCATGATGTTATCCCCATGTAATAAGAGGCATGTTATCCCATGTAATAAGAGGCATGTTATCCCATGTAATAAGAGGCATGTTATCCCATGTAATAAGAGGCATGTTATCCCATGTAATAAGAGGCATGTTATCCCATGTAATAAGAGGCATGTAATAAGAGGCATGTTATCCCATGTAATAAGAGGCATGTAATAAGAGGCATGTTATCTCATGTAATAAGAGGCATGTATGTAGTAAAGGCAGATGATATGTAGTGCTGTGTAGTGACGCACCATGTAGTCATACATATGGTTATCTTATCCCATGTAATAAAAGGCATGTTATCCGTGTAGTAAAGGCAGATGATATGTAGTGCTGTGTAGTGACACACCATTTAGTCATACATATGGTTATGTTATCCCATGTGATAAAAGGCATGTTATCCCGTAGAATAAAGGCAGATGATGTGTAGTGACACACCATGTAGTCAGACACAGGGAGGCTGTCCTGGCACACACATTGTAGGGTTCGGTCATGCCAGATATTGCTGTTCAGATTTTGGTGTGATTAACCCCTGGGCTCCCAGTGTGGGTGAAGTAGAATGCTGAGTGTTATGGGGATGATGTGTGATGAGGATGGGCTGTGATTGGCCTGGTGTGGGGGGGTGTGACAATGAAGGGTCCTGTGGATGGGATGAATGGGCAGTGTGACATCAGAAGGTAAATAATAGGAGGTGATAGGGATCAGTGATCCCTCCTGTGTGGTCGGTGCCAGGCTTTGTCCTGGGGATATGGATGACAGGAGGGAAGGCTCCTCCATGTCGTTTCCCTGACATGTGGGATGTGAGCCCTGGATCCAGGCTGATCTGTCTACATCGTAGTGTACAGCAATGCGGCATAGGTGGGCGATGTGTGATGACAGGCCATCGGATGGGTGAATGGCTGGCTCGAACACCGCCAACGGATGGGCGAATGGCTGGCTCACACACCGCCAACGGATGGGCGAATGGCTGGCTCGAACACCGCCAACGGATGGGCGAATGGCTGGCTCACACACCGCCAACGGATGGGCGAATGGCTGGCTCGAACACCGCCACGGATGGGCGAATGGCTGGCTCACACACCGCCATCGGATGGGCGAATGGCTGGCTCACACACCGCCATCGGATGGGCGAATGGCTGGCTCACACACCGCCATCGGATGGGCGAATGGCTGGCTCACACACCGCCATCGGATGGGCGAATGGCTGGCTCACACACCGCCATCGGATGGGCGAATGGCTGGCTCACACACCACCGGGTGATGACAGCTCGTACCTGTCCCGAGGCGCTCCCGGACGATGACAGCTCCATCCCTCCGTACACGGATCTCGGTGGCTCCGGTAATCTTCCTCCGTTTCCCGTCGCCCGGGGCCGCCCGCAGAGCCGCACAGCACTGGAAGCACACAGCCCATGCCTGCTCCTCATTGATGGGCTGATTGTACAGATCCAGGATCTCCTCCAGAGACAGGGACTCGTCCTCCGTCCCGATCCCACTCTCTGCCTCACTGGCCGGGCTCGCCGGAGACTCCGCCATCCCGGAGGTCAGTGCGCTGAGCACCTCATCCCGGAGCTCCTCCCGCCTCTCGTGTGCGGAGAATGCGGCAACATCAACATCCCCGGCCGCCTGACCAGCCAGCAGAGCCTGGAAGCCCCTGATCGGTGACGTCCAATCCTGGGAAACGTCACGGCTGGGGGCGGGGCCAACCCGTTGTCTGTCTGTCAAAACCATGGACACATGGCGTGTGCTGTCCCCGCCCCCCGCCTGTCTGTCATCTCAGCTCATTGTCACCCTTAGCAGTGTCGTCTAGCGAGCCTTTGTTGGATCTAGGAAACCATGATTCTGTGTGCCCGGATCACACCGCAGGGCCCCGTTCACACAGGCCTATGACAGAGGTGCGATCTGTCAACGCTGCCCACCATTGATAGACGGGGAGCAGATGGTGATGTACACACAGCAGCGTCAGGGCTTGTTCACACATACAGCCAGGAGGCTGGAGATATAGTCTGCTCAGTCATGGTTTTACCACCCTACCTTAAAGTTGTAAACCTCTAAAATAATAAATGAACAAAGTATATCTTTCTATAGCAATGGTGGTCAATTTTCTTGATATGGGGGGCCTCAAGTGCAGCCCCGCCATCACCAAAAGGGCTGTAAATAAAATTCAGTAAATATTCAGTCTCAGAGACAGTGGACACACAACAGGATAGTCAAAGACTATGGGCATGATACACGAGACGGTCAGAGACTGCGGACCTGATACCGGAGACGGTCAGAGACTGCGGACCCGATACCGGAGACGGTCAGAGACTGCGGACAGGAGACGGTCAGAGACTGCGGACCTGATACCGGAGACTGTCAGAGACTGCGGACATGATACAGGAGATGTTCAGGGACTGCAGACATGATACAGGAGATGTTCAGGGACTGCAGACATGATACAGGAGATGGTCAGAGACTGCAGATGTGACAGGAGAGCTGCGCACTCCTGAATCCTGCACTCTGTGCATATTGCACTCCTGAATCCTGCACTCTGTGCATATTGGCTCTCTTGGAGGACGTCATGTGACATTCTCCCACTCTCACTGCACATGCGCTGGGACACAGCGGATCACCAATCGCAGTAGAGAGACAATTGCACAGGCTCTATCATGTGATCAGCTGTGTCCAATCACAGCTGATCGCATGTAAACAAGGAAATGCAGGTTAAAGGCAGTCCTCTCCTTACGCTGACAGCTCGTCAGGAGAGCCGGTAAGCGGCATTCCTCAGAGCAGACATCTACACTGATCATCAGGGCACTGATTATCAGTTTAGCCCCATCAGTGCCAACTGTCAGTGCCCATCAATACCACCTGTCAGTGCACATCTATGGCACATATAAGTGCCCATCAGAGCTGCTTTCAGTGCCAACTATCAGTGCTGCCTATCAGTGCCAGTCAGTGCTGGCTGTCAGTGCCAGTCAGTGATACCTATCAGTGCCCATTAGTGCTGCCTATCAGTTCTGGCTAACAGTTCCAATCAGTGCCACCTATTAGTGCCTGTCAGTGCTGCCTATCAGTTCCGCCTAACAGTTCCAGTCAGTGCACCTATCAGCGCCAATCAGTTCCGCCTATCAGTGCCATATATGAGTACTGCCTTTCAGTGCCCACCACTGATGCGTGTCAATGCCTACCAGTGATGCCTGTCAATGCCCACCAGTGCCACCTACCAGTACCTCCTCATCATTGCCGCCTATCAGTGCCCATCAGTGCAGCCTATCAGTGCCCATCACTGTAGCCTCATTAGCGCACATCAGTGAAGGAGAAAAATTATTAATTTACAAAATGTTATAACAGAAAGTAAGAATATACTTTTTTTTTAATTTTCAGTCTTTTTTAGTTTGTTTAGCAAAAAATAAAAAACTCAGTGGTGATTAAATGCCACCAAAAGAAAGCTCTATTTGTCTCAAAAATGATAAAAATTTCATATGGATACAGTGCTGCATGACCGCGCAATTGTCATTTAAAGTGTGACAGCGCTGAAAGCTGAAGATTGGCCTGGGCAGGAAGGGGGTGAAAGTGCCCTGTAGGTAAGTGGTTTTAAATATGCGTGTATGTTTGCAGTGAAATGATGTACACAGGATACACAACTAGAGCCCTATATACCAAATACATGCACATGCAACATTTCTAGAGTGGAACATTACATTTCTGGGAATCAAAGCATACTTCCCTGTGCATACATTGTGTGACTTGCACAAATATTATTCTAAAACACTTGTCACAAAGGGAGAGAGGTCTATTCCCTAGAGTCACAGACTTGTTCCAGTCCATCAGTTATTTAACTTTCAGTAATAATAAATAGATTCAGCTTCACTGCCCTGCAACTAGCATGCTACATATGATATTGAAAGTGGTGGCTTCCATCAGAGGCTTCTCACACAAGCATTTGCTTCATGACAGGCATTCTGGCATTTGTTCCCATAATAAAACTAGCACAACTGGTAACTAATATCTGTTTCCATTTAGAAGAGGCATATTTATAAAGCTGATAATACAACATTCAATACGGGTGAATCTTCCTGGCCCTTGTGTTTTAAATAGCAGTGATTGATTCACCATTAGTAAATTTTTGGTGAAAGTCACATTCACTGCTAGCAATATGTGTATCCTGCTATCCCAGTGACATCTGTCCTCATTTTCTGTCTTTGTGTCAGAGGTCCAAGAGATAAGAGAAAATTTCCACAAGAGGGTCATAGCATTAAATTCTAAATCTACGCCACTCTATACAGAACGAAAAGAAGAAAAGGGTTGTGGAGAATTTTGATTTTGAATCCTCTTAATTCTTTGTGCTGCTACTGGCCATCAACTAGAAATGTACAGCCCCATCTGCTGTCTGCCAATGGTTCTGCAGTCATCAAGCCGATATTTTCAAACCCCCATTTGTGTGCAGTAAACAGCTGCCGCATCATGGTTTTAACCACTTGCCCTCCAGAAGATTTACTCCCCTTCCTCACCAGGCCATTTTTTGTGATACAGCACTGCGTTACTTTACCTGACAATTGTGCGGTCATACAAGCTGCACCCAAATGAAATTTATGTCCTTTTTTCCCAGAAATAGAGCTTTCTTTCGGTGGTATTTGATCGCCTCTATGGTTTTTATTTTTTGCGATATAAACAAAAAAAGACAGACAATTAAAAAAAAAAATCTATATTTTTTACTTTTTGCTATTAAACATATCCAGTAAAAAAATTACAAAAAAAGTACAAAATCAAATTTCGTCATAAATTTAGGCCAAAATGTATTCTGCTACATGTGTTTGCAAAAAACAATCCCAATACATGTAAATGAATTGGTTTATGTGAAAGTTATAGCGTCTGCAAATGGCGGTATAGATACTGGGATTTTTTTTTCTACTAGTAATAGTGGCGATTAGCGACATTTAGCGGGACTGTGGCATGCATTCTGACACTGGGGGGAACTGACTTGGTGTCACTGACATCCCCAGTGACACCAATACAGTGATTAGTGCTAATAAAAAGCACTAACACTGTACTAATGGCATTGGGCAGGAAGGGGTTTAACATGTGGGGCGATCAAAGGGTTAACTGTGTGCTGTTTTACTATGTGTGCCGTGTGTGTTTCACTGTAAGCACACTGTTTTGTATGGCTCTGCTATGCAGAGCCATACAAAGCAGTGTGCAGGAGCTGAGAGGGGAGAGATCTGTATTGTTTACATAGAGGTCTCTGCCCCTTCGGTAAAACTCAGAGATCGCCAGGTGCCAGCAGGGACCCCGGCCGGGACCCGATGATCGCCCGCCGAGGCCGTGAATGGTGGTGCAGGTAGGGTCCCCTACCCAGAACTGCAAAATCACGTATATATACGTGATTTTGGGCACCTGTGCTGCCCTGTAGCAGTATTTCTGTTATAGGGTGGCACAGAAGTGGTTAAAAATACCACTTCTGTGCCACCCAATACCAATACCAATACTATAAACAATATGCAATAACCTGGTTGCGATACATTGATGATGTCCTAATGGTATGGGATGGAGGTATGGATGAGCTTAAAAGCTTTATGGAATTTTTGAACAAGAATGATAGGAATATCAAACTCACTTATACAGTAGATAGAGAGGTGATAACTTTTTTGGTTGTCAATCTCTGTCCACAAAAATGAACTGGTCACTAAAAACATTTAGAAAGGAAACAGCGGCCAATACACTTTTACATGCTAATAGTTATCATCCAAGGAGTCTGAAACAGGGAATCCCTATAGGTCAGTTCCAGAGAATAAAAAGAAACTGTACAGAAGAATTAGAATATAGACATGAATCTATCCAGCTCTACAAAAGGTTTAGAGAGAGGGGCTATTCACATAGAACCCTAAGAAGAGCAAAAAGAAAAGCCCTCGGTAAAACAAGAGAGGAATTAATTAATAAATCAAAACCAAAGGCAGCTGCGAATACTGAAAACCAACCGGTAAGATTCATAACTAAATTTGGGACAACAATGGGATGAAGTTAAGAAGGCCCTGGACTCCCATTGGCATTTACTAATTCAAAATCCGCAGATAGCGAAAGTGGTGGGAGAGAGTCCACACATGGTGGCAAAACGAACTCGGAATCTAAATGATATACTAGTACAATCAGAATTTCAGAGGGCACCACAGAGAAACTGGCTAACTAGGAAGACTGGCGTATATGGTATGTTTCCATGTGGTCATTGTCAGATTTGTCCATTTGTACATAAGTCTAATCAGTTTTTCAACAATGATAACTCTAGGACATTTCAAATACGAAGCTTCATTAATTGTTCCAGTAGTAAAATGATATACATGATAGAATGTCCATGTAAAAAGATATATATAGGTAAAACCAAAAGAAGCCTTAGGACTAGGATCGGCGAACATCTGAGAGACATTAGAAATGAAAATAGGAATGTAAGAAAGGGAGAAAAAGTGAACCCACTGGCGCAACACTTTAAAGAAGTACACGGGGGTAAAACAGATGGTCTAAAAGTAAAAGGGATCTTTCTGCTGAATATTTCGGCTCGTCGGGGTGACTTTGATAAAGTTCTCCTACAAAAAGAAAAATTCTGGATCTATACCCTAGGGGCACTTGTCCCATCTGGATTAAACACGGAACTCAACTTTGGGGTGTTTTTGAAATGAATTCCCCTGAACTCTCTATATACCCTGAGTTATAATCTACATTGCGATATCCTATATATGAACTGAATATGGGCCTCTGTGGATAAAATATGAACCTAATTGTTCAACCTTTTCTACTCTTACTAGGTGGTGAGCATATAGAATAATAGGACTGATTTTGAAATTCTGGTAGCTGGACTTGGTTTTGATGTTTCCCTATGTGAACGTGAAATATGTTAATAATAATCTCCTGTTTATCATTCTTTTGGAAGATAATTTGATCTATAGTAATTAGGCTCCTCTTCTACATCCAGCAATCATTTTAAAATTCAAGATATGTGTTTTAATTCATTTTTGGACATTCCCAATGTAGTGATATTCTTTCAACACAAGATGGCGAGGTGGAGACTTTCTGGTATGCAATTAGTGCACCATATAAGGCAAAGGATTGAAGTCCCCTCCCAGTTCTGACGAAGTCTGCGGTGATTGGCGGACGAAACGCGTCAACGTATTGACGTCACTACGCTCGGCGTCTTCACAGGGTGCGGCGCCCACGAGGCGGGAAGGAACGGCGGTGTCACAGCTCCCTGTTAGGTAGGCCCAAGACCCTCTGAGAACTACCAGTGGGCTATTATCACAGCGGTTCGCAAACGGCAATCCCGCAGGGAAACATATCTTCCACCGGTGGCAAGTTATTTAAAAGCATACGGCTGTTGAGATTTACAGAGCCTACATGGCGTTAATAGGGCATGATTCATGGGCCTAATTTACCCTGTATACTCGGGGAATTTTTTGGAATTCTTCTCAGGAGGAGAATCCACACATATATATATATACGCTATTCTACTCAGGTATTTTTTGCTGTGACATAGCCACATCCTTTAAAAAACCACAAATAACCTTCTCAAATTGAGCAATTTTTGGAAACCCTTTATTGGATATATTAAACTCAGGTATCTACGGCCTGCTATATGCTATATACACATTATATGTGCTTGAAATCCACGCATCGTGTATACCTGGTTCCTCACCCCCATATGCATCTGTGAAAAAGCATCAAGGACCTGATCTTAGTTCAAGTCGACAAGAGTCTTCTTGATCCTCATTGATGGTAATATATCCACATTTTTATATATGTTTTGTTTTCGGGGTACCTGATGCCCAAGATCTACACATTTAACTTTTTCTATATATATCCTCAGAATCATTTGGTACTGTGGACCTTGTTCCATTTGGGGTGGCTATCCAGGAAGTCCCTACACTTGAGAGGCGGGTATGATAGTTTCACCTTTGAGAAGGTAACAGTAGTATCCATTGACTATTGTGGAGGGAGGTCTGGTTAATTTTGGATGTGATTTGGTCTCCATATTGCTAGATACATACCATGTATTTTTGTGTTCCAGCTTGTACATTCCAGGAGGTTCCTGATATACACTGGGAACACACCCACTGAATACACGGCTCACACAAATATTAAGCAGGAAACCTACGGAAATCCAGGATAATTATTTCATCATTACACCACTCTGCCTTATATGGTGCTCTGTTGGCTAAGATGACCCTAAATTGAAGACGCTAAGTGTTTTTTAACATGATTTTATTTTTTTCATATGTACACCGTGCTCATGTTTAACCTCCCTATGATCTATGTGATCAAATAAAGTATTGTTAAATTCATTGAATTCACACTACTCCGCGTGGATTACTTAGAAACCTTCTTTTTTAGATAGGTGTGTTCTTGTCACACTATCATATTGTTTAGTGGTTAAAAATACGCCTCAAGGGCTTGTTTACGTCTCCCGTTATGGAGGGGTGGTAAAAAAATACATCCGAGTTGCATTTTCACGGTTTCTCCTTAAATTGCAAAGGCAGCAGCCACGAGTGGACACATGGCATGGTCACGATGCTTTGCGGCCATGGTAGGCATTATACCCTCATCATACTACCACCCACCAAATGTAACCCATTCAAGAGCATGGGGCAGTGCTGTTAGCACATGCAGTGCATGAGCCAGTAAGGGGGCAACATATTGCCATCTCACCACCTGGAAAATGCCTCTGAAAGGTGATCCAAGCACAGATCACTTTTTGAAGGCATGGCAGTCCTTGTCACTATTGTAAACAAGCTCATACTCTAATGATAGAACCCATATTCTTTATAAGCCCACTATCACTGGGCTTAGAAAAGACAGGATAGCATAATGACAAGGCCAGTCATAAATGTGCAGATCTAGAAATGTTGTCAGCACTGCATGCAGAAAGGAATGGTCTTTACTTTATGAACGTGACCCCTTATAGAAATTGAAAGTGGTTGAAAATGGAAGTGTAAAGGACACCAGTACCTTTGTACAATTGTCCTTCTAGTGGAAGTCTAGGATCGATCTAACTAAGCCAAAAACTGCTCCCACCACTTTCTAAATTTTATTCTAACTATCCTGTAAAAGGAAGATGGTTATACTTGCCTATTCTGAGGGAGCTCTGGCCCGGGTTCTGTGATCTCCCTAGCAATTGGGTTCAGGGGATAGAAGAGATCACTAGCAATGGCTGAAATGCCTGAGTGGTGACATCACCCATAAGTTCACTATGGGACATCCATTGCCAGCTGTCCCTCCTCTCCCCTGAAGCCGCCACAAGGAGCTGATCATGTGATGGACCAGAGCACCCTCAGAGTAGGTAAGTATAAGCATTTTCCTTCTACAGGGTAGTTAGAATAGGATTTAGAAAGGGGGTGGGAGCAGGTAACTGCTTAGTTAGGTCAATTCTGTCCGCCACCCTCCTGGTTGCACCCCACTAAGACAAATACTTCCCTTTAGCACAGATCCAGTGATCTTCACTGTGCAGCACCACAAGGATCCACAGAAACCAAAAACAGCAGCTTCGTATTTGCCATGACCCCATTCATTCCTGTGGGAAAGCTGTAAAGAACCATTGGTACGACCAATTCTATTATTCCAATAGAATGGATAGGGAAGCAGAACACATACACAATGCGAAGTGGACATCTTTGTGAGAGAGCCTGTGGCTCACAGTGTAGACCACTGGATGGTGTTTATCCTATTGGAATGTATAGTATTCCCTTCCTACACGTTCCTGATGTTAGCCTGCACTGTAGCAACTGCCAGGTTGAGAACAGTGCATTAGCCAAAGTATAAGTCGCCACTAGATCCCATGTCCTGTATATCGGGATGTACTGTATATATCACCAGCACTCCAGGCATCATTGAAAAAAAGTCCAAGCTTTAATTTGGTGATCACATTGCAGTGGTAAAGTGCAATGTTTCTGGGCCACGCAGGACCCCTTCATCAGGCACACCAGGATCACATGCTTGACGAATGGGTCCTGCTTGGCCCTGAAATATTGCACTTTATCATTGTGAAGTGATCACCTTAAAAAAAGCTTGTCTTACATCCTATTCACAGGTGTCATTAAATGGCATCTCTGATGGAGACCACAGCTGGACGTGGCTCTCTTTTTGTATGACAGGAGCCCCAGGCATGCAGCTCTGTTCCTTTTTTTTTATTCTTATACAAGTCTCTCACAATAAGTTGAGACCTTCTGGCATTTTTGGCAGGAGTATGA